CAACTGCTCGAGGTCGATTCCTACGAATGTCTTTTACAGCCTGAAAGACGTCAACAATCTGTTCTTGTTTCACTCGTTCGATGATTGAGTATATGGCACAAAATGTACCACTTCGACCAACACCATTACTAGAACAAACAAGAAGCGCATTTACATGAAGCAAACACGAAGTTATGTGATTTAAGCATTGTGTGTTTTTGAGAATTAATRATATTCATTGAAATATCGMCACCMTCTTTCCTCCTAGAAGACACTGACGTCAGCTCTTCAAACTTTGATACCTCGATGACYAGTGCAAGACAATATGTTTACTTTAACTCCATCTTTCCTTTAGTTAAATATRATTTAATTCATCAATTCATTATTTCTTCCGGCCCATTGTTTTATTGCATAGTAACTCCCAAAAAACCACCAACCTGCATTGTGCTACTATTGGTGAATGACTGGACTGCGCATGTCTTTGTGATTGCTGTACTTCATTCAGTAAATCCAACACACTTTGTGAATTCGTAGGGCAACATTTATCCTTCCAGTTGGCCATTTGTATGTGCTGAACCTGAACAGTTGTCTGAAAGGAAAGTGCAGGCAGAAAACAATTCATGAATATTGTCAAAACTCAAGGCGGCMTTGTCAATTATCCAATGCTTGTCTGGGCTGCAATTTGCTATTTGGGCATTCCAGATGACACATTTCAGTTATTAAAAACAAAATGCATAGCAAGTCTGACCGACATCGAATTAAAGAAGTCTCCTACCGAGTTGTAAGTAACGCTMAGATGATGAGAAACCAGTTCACCGATTTTCGTTGTGTCCCGCAGGTCAACAGTCACGTTACCGTAGGATAAAGATCCACTTAAAGGCCAGTATTGGATGAAACGCTGTAAGAAAATGGACGTGTCATATTATGATGATATGTGAAAAAATCAGTAAAGCCTCTTTAACTTCCATTCCATCAAGGTGTACGACCATCCAACATCTGCCAGCCAGGCAGCTTCAAGACACTTCAAGTAATTTGTTTGTTATTTGTTTATGAGYGGAATAAGTAGGGGAGAAGGGTCTTAAATTTCTGTGATGGACAAATAATAATAATTTCTGTCATTTCTGTGATAGACATTAACTTGGCTCGCGATTCTTGAGAAGCAGAGCAATACCTTGTTTTCCTCTTGCAAATTGTTTAGCATAACCACTGTTTTGACGTCATAGCTCACTACCATGATCCAGAAATCCTCAATGGTCTTTATTAGTGGAGCTTGCGTGACAATGAATGCGTTACGCTCCTTGTAGGCCTGGAATTATTAAGTATTGACGTAATCATGATAATATTTGTTTTTCTTCAATTCTGACCTTTGATTTAAAACGAAATAAGTGACAACCGATCGATGTCAAATCTATACTCAAAAAACTAAAACACATCATTTAGTAACTTACATCAACATGTGAAGCATTTATGTAGCTTGTTGTCACATCCTCTCCGGGTTTTTTAAGCAAAACTCGGCTACGGTTTACTATAGGATACAAAAAAGAGAATCATGAATAATGTCGCAAGAACAAATACTAAAAAGTGCACACAGATGGAGCAATTTAAAGTAGAGAACCTAAGAGGCGCAGATGAGAAGTATAATAAGTCACATACTTTGAAAAGGTAAGGCAATGACAGAAAATAGATGATTGGCTTGACAAGTGCCCAATGATGCAAAGACGTAGACGTAGGCCAAAAACTGAACCTTGCCGTGGTCCGTTGGAAGAGAAAGCCGAAAGGAAGGATATTGGAAATCTTACTAGGAAGAAGCAAGGACTGCTGCAACGAACCGAGAGAGATGGAAATGGGGCAACTTAGGGTCTATGCACCAGAGATATGCAAGTAGACCTGAACTGAACAGTAACTGTGATGATGCGAACCTGTTCATCTATCCATCTTCTGCATCATTACTCATAATATTGCGTGGGAGATTCAATGCGGACAAGACGTTATTTACGAGTATATTGAATACTTTACTTACAGGCGATATTTTCTTTGTCTCGGTTCTTTTTTATATTTGTTGGCGACCTACCAACATCACACTCTTCTTTTTCGTAATCTTCAGTAACTCGGTTAAGTCTCTGCAACGAAAAATATACGTTCAGTGTGAAAAAAAATTAGAAATGGATGAATATAAAAGATATATGAAAAGGAGTTTCACCTCTTAAAAAAACAAATTAACAGTCAAATAACAGATACTTTACATGCAAACAAACAAACCTCAAACTCCAAGGCGTATCCTGTCTCGTTTCTCTCTGGGGCAGTATTTGATAGTTTTCTCATTGTGGTCTGTAGATTATAAACTGGGAATTCTGTATTACCACAGGTGAAGACTTCATTAAGAGCAAGATGTATAAACACATACTGTTCCTGAAGAACAATAAGCAAGAAAACGCGATTTTTAGATTATACTCACTTTGCATATTTTCACGAAATTATAAACACTAAAGCTTCCGATACTTTGAGATGTTTTCCAAATTTATCCGAATTTTATGCTCATGCATTAATTTTAATTTCAAAAGCCATTTCATTCTGTTATTTTAAAAGATTCATACCTCGGTCTGTACCATATAAGGCCTGTCGTTTCTGATGGATGCAACGTAGTCTGGTATTGCGACGTTTTTGAGGTGTTTGTCACGTTCCAACATGGCATCGATCACGATGTACGCACCAGTCCGGCCAACACCAGCACTTAAAAATAGTTTTAATTGAATGATGAAATCGATAAAAGAGACCAAGAATTTTTTAAATTCCTTTTGTAGAATACGGATTAAATTTTTGCTTTCCTAATTAATCAACCTCGATGACCAAACAGAGTGCACGTTCTATTATAGTTCTTGTATGATTCTTTTATATCATCAACAATACCTGCAGTGAACCACCAAAGGACCAGCGTGATCTGGATTCAAAGCATTGACTTGTCGCCGCAAGCCTAAAACGGCTGTAGAATACTGTGGCACTCCATGATCTGGCCACACAGTAAACTGGAAATGGTTAACCTGGCGACTCTCGTTGGTGTTTGACTTGTTATACAAAAATATTATTAAAACTGATTAGTGGTATATATCAACTGTACATGTTTTTCTAAGGTCGATGTGACCGAATTGATCGATCTTAGTTGTGCAAGCTCAATGCAAAAGAAGACTCGTACCCAGTCGTTACTCTCCTTTTTTCTCTGACGCGCGCAAAGGATCAAGGGAAGTCGCCTTTCCTTTGCACTTCCCTTCATGGATTGCGCGCGGCTCGAGAAGCGACTGGTTACGAGTCTGATGATAATGTAATAATATGGAGGAGCAGAAGAGTGACAATGATTCGGTAAGATATGATTACTCATATTGTTAGCTCTAGCTTGTCAGTGGTGGCAGAGGTGTGCCGAGCTCTTCAAAGTGCTATTAGCATTCTTCGGGGCTAGTTCCGTATTACTACGATTAGCTTAATAATTTCACTTTGATATTAACTTTTTCTTTCATTTCTTTATTGACCATCACATATTGAGAATTACATTTTCTTGTACGCTTAAATTTTCATGAGCAAACCAATGATTTACCTTTGTCAATAAGAGAGTTCGTATGATATAATCAGGAAAAACCTCCGACTTTTGAATTGTTACTGTGATATCTCGTTGAGTTTCTTTATCTTCTGGCCAGTACTGATGACATTTTTCCTACAAAGCAATATAAGATATGAAAATGGCGCCCATTTAGTTTTTCTTTCCCCCACTCTCACTAAAAAATCTTTTCACGGCTTTTAGTCTCTTTGGAGTCGTTGAAATGGCATTCAGTCTTTCACATAAAGTCAAAAATTCATTTTGAATTGTTTTAGTGAAGATCGGATGGTTATAACACAAATTCCCAACCTTTGATCCCTCTTTCAGATTGGTCAGCATGACTATAGTACATGAGTTCACTTCCCATATCATTTGCCAAAAATCAGCAACAGTCTGCGGTGTAGGGCCTGTGGAATGTTCAGATGTGATAATTTGT